TTTGGACACGAACACATCCGTTAATTGGAGATCGAGAGGAGGATTCCGATGCTGATCGTGGCGACAGATTAGCCACTTGGCGCTTTCTGAGCTCCAGATCTGCTTGGTAATGGAGACCATCCATCTGATCCAAAGCCTTGGCGAATTGGCGCGCGAGGCGTTGTCGTTTCCTTTGACGTGCTCTCTTTGATAGAGTTGGCGCGCCTTCAGCAGTCGACTCCTTAATCGTGAAGGAGTTCAGATCTGCAAATTTGGCTTCATTGAACGCCGGTGGATCATTGCAAGGTGCAACAGCAACAGCGGCGGAGAGATCGTCTTCTTGGATCTTCAGATCTGAAGACCAGCAGATCTTTCTGGAGGAGGAGGCACTCCTGCACTTGCCAGGAGAGGCGGATCTGGAGGAGGAGGAGGAGACATACTCCTCGAACTTCTGCTGGTCGAACTCGTATTCGACCTCTTCGAGCACCGGGATCTTGATCGTCGGCTGCGGCACGACAGCTTCGACAGCGAAGCTGTTGGCTCCCACTGTGGTAGCCAGTTTGTTTGTTGTGAAAGTTGCTATTTCCATTGCTATCGAATCTATTACAACTTTAGTCGTTACAATAAACTCGAATAAAATAAAATAAAAATTGATCTTTTTATAAGATCTCCTTACACAATGAAAATAAAAAGTTTATAACTTTATCAAACAAACGCAGAGATCGTTTATCGATCTTCTGCTTGCGTGGAATCTTTGCCTGTGCCGGGGTTTATCCGTGGACCATCGTCGATCTGATCTGATTGCTAAAAAATTGGACAGAGCTTCGTCTATCCGTGAAGGGATCGAGAAAACTGTAGCACTTATCTCGGCGAAGCGAGATAATCACTCTTCTTAAGATTACCACAACAGGATAATCCTAAGGAACGGATCCGGGAAACTGTAGATCTGACGAATCTCTCTCTCTTGCGTTAAAGAACTCGATCCGATCTCTCCTCCTCCTCTCTGAAATTTGTGCACTTTAAGTCTTCAATCCGGCAGGGCTTCGCCGAGGCACATGAATTCCAGATCTGAAAAAATGAGGGCTTGGGGCTTGTATTTATAGGCTTGAGGGGTTGCGGAGCGGTTAAAACCACCTAAAGGGCCCAAATCCACGTTGGAGACACCCTAGGGTGTCTCCCAAAATCCGAGACACCCTAGGGTGTCTCCCAAAATCCGAGACACCCTAGGGTGTCTCGGCTTTGGCCGAGACACTCTGTTGTGGTGCATTCGTCCGCTTTCGCTGTAAATTCTTCGTCCGAACTCGGATTTGAGTGATTCGAAGTGCGTTGGAAAGCCGACAAGGAGTTCTATCAGCCCCAATGGTTGGATCATCTGTATAATGAATGAGACACGAAGGGTATTGTTCTTTTTTTGTAAACATCGCGGGGCTCTCGATTAGCCCGTACCTTCGTTATTCCGAAACTCCGTTGCTTCACATAGTTTGCCGATTCACTTCAAGCGTTCGTCGACGTCAATCAAGCTTCTGTGAACCAGATGGTAACGTTCATCGTCTTCTCTTAGCTTTGAGCTGTTCGTGGAGACCTATAGGCAATTTTCGATGCCTACACAGCTACAAATAAATGAACGATTTAATTTTAAAAAATAGTCAAAAGTTGTCCCCATTTTTCCACTTTTACGAGACATCCACGCCTTTTTGGAGGAAGCTGAATTTGCAATAAACCTAATGTGCGCAGTCTTTTTGTATTTTATTTCGAACACATTTTTAAAATAAACCATTTTTAAAACTTAATTAGCAAAATAGGCTGAAAAAATATTTAATTACAAAAAATCGTTGTAAGCTGGAACGGTAGTTATAAATCGTTGTTATAAATGAGGATACAGTCATATTTTTATAAATCGTTGTTAATTATATTTGATAATATTTATACCTAATGATATGTTATTTCTAGATGCTATCGTAGTAGTTCTAGTAGCCCTCGAGTTAGTTCTAGCTTCTATTACCCTAGCTCTAGCTTGTATACAGTCAGTTCTAGTCTACACCTTACTAGTTCTAAACTCAGCCCGCGTTTTTTAGCTTCACACTTGTTAATTCATGCTTCTACGTTAGTTCTAGTTTCTATTACCCTAGTTCTAGCTTGTATACAGCCAGTTCTAGCCCACACCTTGCTAGTTCTAAACCCAACAAGGGTTTTTTACATGCACACTTGTTAATTCTTGCTTCTACATTAGTTCTAGCTTCTATTACCCTAGTTCTAGCTTGTATACAGTCAGTTCTAACCCACACCTTGCTATTTCTAAACCCAACAAGGGTTTTTTACATGCACACTTATTAATTCTTGCTTCTACATTAGTTCCAGCTTTTATTACCCTAGTTCTAGCTTGTATACAGCCAGTTCTAGCCCACACCTTACTAGTTCTAAACCCAACAAGGGTTTTTTACATGCACACTTGTTAATTTTTGCTTCTACGTTAGTTCTAGCTTCTATTACCCCAGTTCTAGCTTGTATACAGCAAGTTCTAGCCCACACCTTGCTAGTTCTAAACCCAACAAGGGTTTTTTACATGCACACTTGTTAATTCTTACTTTTACGTTAGTTCTAGCTTCTATTACCCTAGTTCTAGCTTGTATACAGCAAGTTCTAGCCCACACCTTACTAGTTCTAAACCCAACAAAGGTTTTTTACATGCACATTTGTTAATTCTTGCTTCTACGTTAGTTCTAGCTTCTATTACCCTAGTTCTAGCTTGTATACAGCCAGTTCTAGCCCACACCTTACTAGTTCTAAACCCAACAAGGGTTTTTTACATGCACACTTGTTAATTCTTGCTTCTACGTTAGTTCTAGCTTCTATTACCTTAGTTCTAGCTTGTATACAGCCAGTTCTAGCACACACCTTGCTAGTTCTAAACCCAACAATGGTTTTTTATATGCACACTTGTTAATTCTTGCTTCTACATTTAATAAAAGCTAGAACTAATGTAAAAGAAAGAATTAACAAGTGTGCATGTAAAAAACCCTTGTTGGGTTTAGAACTAGCAAGGTGTGGGCTAGAACTGGTTGTATACAAACTAGAACTAGGGTAATAGAAGCTAGAACTAACACAGAAGCAAGAATTAACAAGTGTGCATGTAAAAAACCCTTGTTGGGTTTAGAACTAGCAAGGTGTGGGCTAGAACTGGTTGTATACAAGCTAGAACTAGGGTAATAAAAGCTAGAACTAACGTAGAAGCAAGAATTAACAAGTGTGCATGTAAAAAATAATTGTTGGGTTTAGAAGAAATCGGGTATTTAACGACCAAAATTAGCGAAGGGACTAGTTAACCGTCATTAATGTGTGTAAAATAACGACGGTTTTAAAGCCCTTCATCGAGTTATCACAATTATTAAAGAAATTATGTGAGATGGGATAACGGTTTTCTAATCCCTTTGTTGATTTGGTTCTAATATCGTCGTTATTGGGTCTCCTGAAAGGCGAAGGAGTATATTACCATCGTTGATGATACTCCTAATCATAATAGGATTGATATTTTAACCTATTACTATTAATTAACAAGACCCACAATCACAATCACCAAAGCCCCGAGTAGAACCCGAAACCCAAAATCCAAAATCGCCCATAAAAATCTCCTATTCATCCCTCAAAACGCTCGCCGCAAAAATAATTAAACCCTAGAATCTCAACTTCCGTAATTTCTTCACCAAACTCGTCTAGGGCCTAGATTAACAATAAATCGCCTACTGTTCATTGTTCTTCACCAAACTCGTCCGTAATTTCTTCGTCGTCTTCATCTTGCCGACAGCCGCGAGCCTCCGCTGCTCCAACTTCGCCGTCCCAACGTCTCCCGCCTTAAATCCCTATAATTGCACTTAAATCCCTATAGTTTGTTTCCAGTGGTATAATCAGTTGTAACCTAGATTGGAATCACCAAAGACCAAGAATGTTCAAATCCAAAAATAAATAACTAAACAGAATAAGAATCTGAAAAATGTAATCAGGCAAAAACCTGGATTGGTGTCCACCCACAGGGATCTGGATAAACCCCTGAACCATTCCAACTTCTGCCAACAAAGCCCTGAATCATCAAGAACAGAGCTTGTTGCTCTGTTTTCTCCATCGGAGCTGCTTGGTCATCTGATTCACAAAGTACAAGAGAGAAGAAGAGAAGGAACTGAAGAAGGAAAACAAACTTAGTATTCATTTTTCTCCCTTCCATTTGTAAGTTTGAACAGAGAGGTTAAGAAGTGCATAAATATATATAAAAGAAGCAGTAGGAAAGAGAATCCAGAGACTAGCTAGATTATTAATTAGAGGATGTTTAAGGATTGACACTTAAGAAGAAGCATGATTCACACCAATAGAAACAAGCTCAACATCTCATGAAGCTAATAAGGTGGACTATTTATTAAGCCTTTTGGTTGAAATAGATAGAATGAATGAAGAAAAGAATCAAAGGTTAGGTTCTTTAACGCCCTATCATTTAGGTATCAAAGGAGAAGGGAATTTAATGTCTTTGAGAATTTAGAAGGGAGAGTGAGGAGGTGGATAACTTTCTACAGTGAAGTTTAAAAGGTAGAGGCCAAACCAAAACAACGGTGGTATAATTGCACTTAAATCCCTATAGTTTAGCCAACTTTGCACTTTTGCCATAAAGACCCTATACATTAGTTATGAATTGTTGTATTATAAGATTTAGATTGTCGGCTAGTCATAAATATTCAGCTATCCATAAGTGGTGTTTGCCTGTTTGTCATTTTCTCTTCGAAAAAAATGGAGATTGGCTATTACGTATTTAATTTATGTGGAAATATCTTCTGCCTAAATGGAAATATGTGGATATTTTGATTTTAGTGTTCGTTTCCTTATTAGACACTTAATCATGCTGAATTCCTTACTTTGCATTACAGGTACTCAAAACATTAGCAGTTTTGTTGTCAAGAGGTAACAGACAGTTTAACAAGAAAGCTCAGTCTGTAGGCTGTCGATTTATAGGTATGAAAACTTGCCATTTTTATTTTTCACACTGGTATGATTTGTCTGTTCCAAATTGGCTGTGTTTCAAACCAACCTCTCTGCTTGTAATTTTATTTTGAGCTAATGGAAAGCAATCTCTTTGAGTTTACTTCTAGTTGATTTGGTCTCTGTTTTATGATATACAACTATAGTCATATGAATATGGCATGCATACACACACATACATACATACGTACATACATACATGCACAGTGCATACATACGCACATGCATATATGCATATGTGTGAGCACGTCCGCGTTGCATATGAACGGACATGTATGTGTCCCGCATTTTTTTGAGACTACATTTTGTCTTTGTATCACGTATTGTGCAACATCTTGGTGTGCTGTTTTAGTAACCGTGTGTCATAATCCTTAACTCATTTGGCCTGAGCAAGCCTACTAATATAAACTATAGTAGCATGGTACATTTGCTTAAATGGCTTTAGGTTAGCGCATTGCATTTCTTCACTGTCGGTGCTTGGTTAATATCTCATATACATCATATAACTATCTTAAATTCTGTTACAAAATCATGGGAAGCACTTGGAATCTTGGTTAGCAAGTTCACATTTATGCAAACTTTATGTAGATCTCAATTTAGTTCTTTTCTGAACCAAATTATATGTTTACTTTTTCATTCTACAAACTAGGATACAACTCACTGCTAATTGAGTAAGCTGGATGATATTCATATCATCTGATTATTAGGCAGGCATGGTCAGGGTTAAGTAAGCTTATCGAGTCAGGTTTGGGCCAGCCTAGTGCAGGTCTGGTCAAAACTGATTTGCCTGTATACCTGATTGCAACCGCTATTGTAGGGCTATATGAAATTGGTCAAAATGGGTAAAAGGTAACTTCCATTTGATGCTGATTTTGCTTGGTATTTGGCTTCAGGTTGACCAGCTTAGACTAGGGATTAATGTCCATCGACTGTATGTTGGTGGACGTGATATTGGAATGCCTAGATGGAGGTGACAAAAGAATAGGGTTATTTTCACAAAGCCTTCCTCAACTTTTGGGGGTTGGTGGTGTTGCACAGGAAATATGTGAAAGAAAATTCATTACAAGTTGCACTTAGAAATAAACCTACAGAAGTGAGTGTTGATAACTGTGATTGGCTAGTTAAGGAACGTTATTTTTCTTCAAAATTCTAGGTATTAATCTCCTAATTTTATTAATTTTGTTCCATGTATATTATTAGATTGTTGAAATTATCTTTTAATCTTGATGTATAGAAAGCAAGCCAACAAAATACACTTAACAGAGGCAAAAGAAAGATGCTCCACCACACGGGCAGCAAACCCTTTAGACAAATTGCGTGGGAATTGGTATACATCCAAAACAAATTTCCTATTTATTTAAAACCACTTTGTTTTTTAGTTTGATGTTGTACTCATTTTTATTTAACATTTGAATAAGGGTGGCAAGTCAGGAAATCCACCTGATATGGCACAAATGTTTCATGAAACTCGAAAGGAAGCTAATGAAATACTAGATATTGGAGATCAAGATAAATATGTAAGTAGAATATGTGTTAAAGTTTGATAATGATGCATTATATAGTACTAACATATGAATTTATTTTTTATAGGATGAAATTGTTCAAGTCAAATAAGCAAACTCTTCACTTTCTGACATTGAGATAGTTGAGAAAATCTGGGGAAAGCAATCTCATGGTCACATCACAGTATTTGGTGGCGGGACTACTTTGAAAGATTTGAGAGGACTGCTCCCTAGTCGATCTGATCTGGAAGCACGAGTTATAGAAGAAAAAAGAAAGAACCAGATACTTTAACAATGCTTAGATGAGCAGGAGCAACAACAACAAAGGATGTCTGAGTTGGAGTCACAAGTGAAAGCTATGCAAGAACTTTTTTTAGGCAATCACCTTCATTGACTCCTCAAACTCGAGAACGTGTGCAGGACTAGGTAATTATTTTTTGTAAAATCTCTTATATACTTTTATGATTGACTACTTGCACTAAAAATGTGATTTTTACTTAATAAGATAATATTTGTTTAATTGATATTTCTTAATTATGTGATTTTTTAAAATTTTCCAGGCTATCCATGCAAGATTAGGAGGTGGTAGCTCGAGTCTTCTTTTGACGATGATTAGAGATGAAAGAATGTGTCTTTCTCAAACTTTTATTTTAATTTGGCTTAGATAGTTTCATGTATTTTTTTGGAACAATTATGATATTAACTCTTGTTATTAGTATTGAATATTTGAGGATGATGAAATTTTATTTGTTGATGTTATTAATGATATTAACTCTTGTTATTAGTATTGAATATTTGAGGATGATGAAATTTTATTTGTTGATGTTATTAATGAATGGAATTTTTATTTTCCCTCTTATTCATTATTGAGTATTTTTAATATATTTTTGTTGTGAATCTTAGTGTCAGGTTAAGAATAATATGATAGTTGTCTATGAATGGAAAAATTATTATTAATGTATATTAGAAATTTTTAGTCTACAATGACGGTTTTTTATAAATCGTATTTTATTCATCAACGAAGGAAAAACACCGTCGTTGATGGGTGACTAATTACCCATGATGAGGACTTTTACGACGGTATCCAACCGTCATTAATTAGTCTTCAACGATGGGAAAATATTCCCGTAACTAATGGTAACGACGGAAAAATATCCCCATAACTAATGGTAACGATGGGAAAATATCCCGTCACTGATGGTAACGACGGGAAAATATGCCCGTGACCGATAGTAATGACGGTGATAATTACCGTCGTAAATATTAATGATGGTAATATGTTCCGTCGTTATAGAGTCTATAACGACGGGTAGTATATCCCTTCGTGACCCTTTAGCGAAGAGGGCTTCAACGACGGGTGACGAAGGGACTTTTCCCCGTCGTTAGCATACAATAGCGAAGATTTTTAGCTCTTTAATGAAGGGAAATCCCTTCGTTAAAGATGTAATTTCTTGTAGGTGTGGGCTAGAACTGACTGTATACAAGCTAGAACTAGGGTAATAGAAGCTAGAACTAACGTAGAAGTAAGAATTAGCAAGTGTGTATGTAAAAAACCCTTGTTGGGTTTAGAACTAGTAATGTGTGGGCTAGAACTGGCTGTATACATGCTAGAACTAGGGCAATAGAAGCTAGAACTAACGTAGAAGCAAGAATTAACAAGTGTGCATGTAAAAAACCTTTGTTGGGTTTAGAACTAGCAAGGTGTGGGCTAGAACTGGCTGTATACAAGCTAGAACTAGAGTAATAGAAGCTGGAACTAACATAGAAGCAAGAATTAACAAGTGTGCATGTAAAAAATCATTGTTGGGTTTAGAACTAGCAAGGTGTGGGCTAGAACTGGCTGTATACAAGCTAGAACTAGGATAATAGAAGCTAGAACTAACGTAGAAGCAAGAATTAACAAGTGTGCATGTAAAAAACCCTTGTTGGGTTTAGAACTAGCAAGGTGTGGGCTAGAACTGGCTGTATACAAGCTAGAACTAGGGTAATAGAAGGTAGAACTAACGTAGAAGTATGAAATAACAAGTGTGAAGGTAAAAATCGCGGGCTGAGTTTAGAACTAGTAAGGTGTGGGCTAGAACTGGCTGTATACAAGTTAGAACTAGGGTAATAGAAGCTAGAACTAACTCGATGGCTACTAGAACTACTACGATAGCATCTTGAAATAACATATCATTAGGTATAAATATTATCAAATATAATTAACAACAATTTATAAAAATATGACTGTATCCTCATTTATAACAACGATTTATAACTACCGTCCTAGCTTACAATGATTTTTTATAATTAAATATTTTTCAGCCTATTTTGCTAATTAAGTTTTAAAAATGGTCTATTTTAAAAATATGTTCGAAATTAAAATACAAAAAGGCTGCGCACATTAGGTTTATTGCAAATTCAGCTTCCTTCAAAAAGGCGTGGATGTCTCGTGAAAGTGGAAAAATGGGGACAACTTTTGACTATTTTTTAAAATTAAATCGTTCATTTATGTGTAGCTGGTCAAACATTTTTCCTTTTTTTCTTTTCTTCTTCTAGCTAATGGATTAATGCTCTGTGCGTCTCGACGGCGGCGATCTACGGCGGGGTAGCGGCGGCGATCTACGGCGACGATGACAGGTGGAGGAGAGGAGGGGAGGCGGCGGTGAACTCTGGGAGCCTTGGGGGCCTGAGCGGAGGCGGCAACGGCGAGGAGTGCGAGGGCCAGGTTGACGAGCTTGAGATAAGGCTCTTAGTTTTAGAGAGAGAGAAGAGAGAGAAGAGAGAGAGGAGAGAGAGAGAGAGAGAGAGAGAGAGAGAGAGATGAGAGAGAGAGAGAGAGGAGATGAGAGAGAAAGATGATATGATTGCTGAGTCTGAGAGATTGAGGAGAGAGGATAAGGATAATTTGGGGATTTTAGCTTAGCTGGCATGCAATAATTAATAAAAAAGGACTACAGTACAAAGTGTCACACATCTAGGGGCTGATTCACAAGGGGAAAACTATGAGGGGCATCGTCACATGAAGTTTCTGCTTTTGGGGCCTGTACACATTTTCCCCATAAATAAAACTTCACATTCGATTCCTGGGCTAGATTCCCCATATCATGCTATTTTCGAATACCATGAAGATAGGACCCCACTGCTATCTTAAATTTAAGAGCAACGCCGGGTGGGCCCACAAGGACACAATTGACACCAAATCTGAAGACAACGACTTCATTACACTTATGAGTGAGGACCCGTTCCGTTTGTAAACTCCACAATGCCACAAATTAAAAAAACATTATACTCGATTTGGGATCCTCTACGCATGAATAGTATCCTAATATTTGCTAATACTTAATCTTGACCTTTCATTTTACATATGTGGGGCCTATTGGAAAGGATGGAGGGTGAAGAAGGTGATGGATCTATTAGGAAACATTAAGAAACCCTATTCATGAGTAGAGAATCCGGATCCGTTATACTCACTTGATTCCCCTAATTTTGTACAAACTTTTTGGGTTTTTTTAAGATATTACCCTTAAGTCTTCAATAATTGCATATTAGTCTCTCAAAACTTAAAAAGTGTATCCTAGTCCCTCAAATTCCCTCAAATTCTTTTGGGCCTTGCAATATGGTCCTTCAAGTTAAATGGTGATAGATTTGAAGAGAATATATTATAAATCTAACGGGTGGAGGTGAAGTGATCATTTTACTTCTCTACTATATTTCCCAACCCATTTCTAAATGAGTTTAACTGTTTAAGCTCAATACCCTCTTGTAAAAAAACCCAAACCAACTTGAGTTTTTCTTCTCCAATAGTTAAAAAAAACTAGTTCAAGGTTGCGCTTCACAAAGATTCGACATATCAAAAAGAGGTGCAGTTTGGTTACTGTGGATGTTGTGTTAGGAGTTAATCCAACCATGATCAGATTTTTTACACTTAAATACTAATAGAGAGACCATTTTTCAAGACTATATATAAATTGAGGGCTCAATATGCAATTTTTAAGATTCACCGGACTAGTATATAATTATTGAAAATTTATGGGACTCATATTTAAAAAAAAATCATATTTATTATAGTAAAGTTAAACCTCTGAACTATAATGATTTCACTTGATTCCCCTAATTTTTGGCTGTCACAATTCCCCCAACACATTTCCCTTTCTTTTTTCCAACATGATGGTAGATTGGTAGTAGCGTACGTCCTGGGAATTTTTTGGAACTTTATTAGAACTTCGTAGGGCTTTTATGAAAATGATGTTAAACCTTTATTGAAAGTTTAGATTTTCTCAAAAATAACTTCGAAAGTCTGAGTTTTTTTGGAAAACACTATTAAAAATTACGGGTTTATGTTGAAAAAACTGGAGTTCACACGGTGAGCAAAGTGTGTTAAAAAAAATCCGGATAATTTTAGAGCGTTATGTGACACGCTCAGAAATAAGGTGTCTATTAAATATTAATTTTAAAGGCGTCTATTAAATAATAATTTTAAAGTTTGGGGGTTATCTTAAATTGGGCTACATATACGCACAAAAGTACTGTAAAATCTAATTTTTTTAATGGAATTGCACTTCATTAAAACCTAGCAGATAATTATAAAGTATATAGTTTTGGAGGTATAGAGATATACAATGATCACTTACATACTTGATCTTGCCTAGATCTAACTCTTAACCATGCAAGAGAATGAGCCACACGAGTATAGCTTCTCTCCCCTCATAAGCAAAGTTGCAAGAAGCGAAATCTCAAACAAATATATTAATATCATTTTCAAGTTTGAAAATCTCAAACCAAATCCTCCTCTGTTCAAGTTTGAAAAGAGTTGGTTTCATAACAACACTTTTGTTCCTTTTATTGAATCTTCATGGAAATCGTTTAGATGTCAAGGGACCCCAGTGGATAAGTTCATCTTTAAACTCAAACTTCTAAAAAGAAGAATTAAGTAGTGGAGAAAGAATGTTTATGGATCTATCTCTTCTAGAAAAAATACTTTGTTATCCAAAATCCATTCTCTAGACCTTATTGAAGAGCAAAGATCTTTATCCAATGCAGAATTAGATGAGAGGAAAGCTTATCAATCTTCTTTTGTCTCTATCATCCAAGAAGAAGAATCTTATTGGCATCAAAGATCTCGTATTCAATGGTTGAAAGAAGGTGATGCTAATACATCCTTTTTCCATAGAACAGCATCCATTCATAAAAGATCAAATCATATTGTTGCTATTAATCACATGGGTTCTGAAATTGATGACAAAGGGGAAATCTCAAAAGTTTTTTATGACTTTTATCGTACTCTTTTTGGACAAGAAAGCAATAGCAACATGACAGTCAACTGGAATTTCTTGTATCCTTCCAAAAATCAGAATCTCTTAGATCTAGAAGCAGATTTTACAGAAGAAGAGGTTAA